GAGTGTGCTTTGGTGTGGAACGAGGGGGGTCAGAACAATTGATTATATTATTATATTTCATTATTTATCCACAGTACCTGATGTTTAAGGGATGCAATGCTCTTGAACAGCAACTGGACTATCTTCAGCAATTGCTAGTTTATTTTCCACAGATGCCTGCAACTCTCATGCACCGTGATTTATCCGTCTTATAATGACAAAGATTAAAAGTGTGTTGCTTTTTCAGTCCTCTACAGCAAACAGCTTTCCACACAACAAGACCTGAAACTGGTTCATATGAACTTTACTTGTTTATTCTTTGTATAATAATTAAGCTGTAGTTCCATGTCAGCAACAAAGAGGAATAAAACAAACATGGAATGCATGTCAGCAACTCTGAAATACAGTCAAAATAGGAAGTATGATGCGGCACTAGCATCTGTTCTAATCCAGCTGCTACAACCAGTAAAATGAAGATTATTGCAAAAAATAGGGAGTATCTCTGCGAGACATGATCTATATTTTTTTTTGCAAGGAACACAATTTAAAAATGCTAACCTCGTATATTCATGCATTTGTAACTGGTTGGAGATGGGGCTTGATAGCGAAGCAATGCACGAAACGGAGGATTTTACCTTTTCTTCTCTCCATAATTAATTGCCAGCTGCTGTCTTGCTTCAAGTCCACACAAAGTGAAACAAGCATTGGAAGTCTTTGGGGTAGACAAGAATTCCCCAGCCTTTTTGGCTTTATGGACCAGCGGAAGGGGGAGAGGGGACGGCTCGGCGCGACAGGCAAACATGCACATGATCAGTTCCATTTGCGGCACACACCAGCTGTTTGCACAAATAGAGCGCATGCGCACACTCACCTGTTCATGCGAGTGGGGATGTGCGCATGCTCACCCGCCATTTCCATGGTCCGGTTCCAAATGGCTCAAGGCGTGGAGGTGGGCTGCAGCCCAGAGGTTGGGGACCCCTGTGCCACAGCCTTCTCTTAGCCTAATAAGGTTAGTGTAGTGTTCCGACCCCCCTCGTTCCACACCATTTGACACGACGAGTCAAAGATACTTTACGCAATTTATTAACAGACAGACAGGTCCTTGGCAGCAATCCAGCACAGATAAGCCTTGGCAGTAATCCAGCCTGCCAAGCTCACAATAATGTTCTCCAACTTTTGTTCCTGCGTTGACTTCTGCAAGAGGGTCATGTGCACAAGCAGTCTTTTTATAGTCTGAAGAGGAGCCTAATGACCACCAGCTGAGTGCAATTACCTCCTGTAAGTGCACAACTGTTCCTTACGCCTATTAGCTCTTCGGTGCCGGGCATCCAGGAACAACTCACTGCTGGCATCTGGCTCACTTTCCCTTGTCTCCTCTCCACTGGTCTAAGGCTCCAGCGCCTCCTGGTGGCCAACCAGCCTCTCTGCGCCCTGCTCAGAGTCAGAACCCTGTCCAGGTCCTCCACATCCTCCAGAGCCGACTCATAGGGCCCCTCGCTATCAGAGTCTGGTCGCAGCTCCAACGGCTCCTGCTGGGCCACAACAGTGTAGGTACATTGGGTANGGGGCGATATGCTGACTCTGTAAACCGCTTAGAGAGGGCTGAAAGCCCTATGAAGCGGTATATAAGTCTAACTGCTATTGCTATTGCTATATAGTTAATCAAATTATTCATCAGTCACCCCAAGACAGGTGTGGGCAATCTTTTTATGTCAAAGTCTATATTATCTCAGGGATAAGGGGGAATGGGGGGGGGGAGACACCACCCATTTTTTTTCCAGACATTTTTCCTTTTTTTTTCCTGTCTCTTTTTGCTATCCTCTATTGTCATTTCTCAGCCGTTAGTTGTCAAGACACAAAGCTGTGACAGAAGTTTGGATTTGTCTCCAAAGATTTTAACATAAGATCAAAGGCCTCATGTAATTAAATTGGGAGAAACATGACTGTCATCCAGCCTATTCTAAAGAAAAGTCTGCATCTATTTATGGATTATTTTTAGCGATAGGGAAAAAAATCCTCAAACCTTATAGAAGTACATACATAAACACTTGCACAAAGTTATCATCATAATGATATATACGTCGTATTACATCTAAGTAGCATTAAACTTCCCCCCTCTCAACTTATGCTAGCCCCGCCCTCTTCCTATAAGGCTTATGGTTACAAGAGATTATATGCCATTTAATCGTTATGGACTCAAAAAAAAGCACAATAAGCTAATAAAACTCATAGTGCATAGTGCACATTGGTGAAGATTTCTAGCTTTATTTTAGGAAGCTGACCAATATGGAATATTCTGACTTAATGTGTAAGGAAATCTCAAGAATACAAAATATACATACCTCCCATCAGAAGCTAGTGTATAACTAGCACCAATTGCAGTGACCGAATCACCAACATCCAGAACTGTTGAACAAGGCTGGATCAGGGCCAAATCCTGATCTCGATTCTCCTCTGCTGAACATTTACCCCAGATGACGGCCTGATTGAAGTACAAAAACCAGTCACATTAAAAATGGGATGTTACAAAGCACATGCATACATACATACCAGTGGTGGGTTTGTTGGAACCTACTCTGTGGGTGTGGCCTCCTTTGTGGGAGTGGCTTGCCACCCATGTGACCGGATAT